ACTAAACAGCAAAAGTTAATTTTCAATTCAAGAAAGGTGTTTGTGTTTATGTGGGGCAAGTTGAAGACTCAATTTCATAATGTCATTGCTTTTTGGTGCTTGTTAGATAAGTCCCACTTTCAGGTTGCCAGGCATTTAAAAAAACTCAGAATATGGCTAGATGTGTTTTGGGAGATATAATTCCCTTATTAAACACATGGGATTGAAAAGGGGACGATGAGTACCACACAACGTGAATTTCAAGAGCCTCCCTGGAAGGCAGCCACACACAAGTACAGTTATATGCATCATTTTGACAATAAGCTTGCTCCCAGCAGGCTATTGTGAAGAAAAAGGCTGCACAGATATTAGCAAATGAGAAAGGACACTACAGCAACGAGTACCAGAGAGCCCCCCCATTTACACTTCATTCAAATGCAGTTATCTTACCTTCCTGCTAGGATCAGTGAAGAGCTACCTGCACCTTCTCAGCTGTCCCTTCTTGGTCTATGGAGGGATCCCAGGGACCCCTAAAATTAAGTGAGGTGACCAAAACCAGCAGTGCGTAGCATTACAGATGTACACTAGCCTGATGGCAGGGACTACTGGAGTGTAGTGACCCTCGTGCACTTGTACAGAGGCTGTGGGAACTCCACCACACATTGGAAGTAGCCTTATGTGTCAATCACTAAGATTTTGGATGTTCTAGTTTCCTTACCCAGCTGTCCTGCACACATTTCAGCACACTTCTAGTTGTGTAGCTCTTTAGAGTTACACAATGCTCAGTTACCCTTGAATACCTATGGAAACAGCATGCTGTTTTCTGCAAAAGACTGTGCTCTAAAGACCCGTGCTCGTACCATCTTCTCTCCCTAATCCCCAGCTATGAGAAAGTAATGGTGGTCCCAAGAGCTGATGTCATTAATCTAATTTGTCAAGTACCTTAAAATCATTTTAATGTTATTAAATACTAACACAAATTGCCATTGTCTCAGACAGAACTAACTTTCAATGCAGCTCTATGAGATCATTCTTAAACCTCTTTCAGAGACTGGGAAACAAAGCACAGAATCATTAACTACCTTGCCTAAAACTGCAGATCACAGTGTCAGCCAGAACTGGGGCTGGCTTCAGGAAACTAATCCTAATTTAAAAAGAAAGCCAAATACTTTCAATCCAGTCACCCATGCACTGTAAGAAGGATCTGTAAGTTTACAAAAGCTAGACGTAAGATGAAGAAGATTTTCACTTATTTTTATTTTCTTGGGAGGAGTCACGTTCCCAAGCTTTTCTCCTGTGACTACAAAGTCTGAAAGCCTACCCTTAGTTCCTTCCCCTACATGTATTAAAAAATATTGATGCAATCACACGATCAGAGGTTTAAGATAAAAGAAAATACCTATATTAAAAAAAAAAAATAATCACACAAAGCAACAGTATCAGGGCTGCCCTTTAGCAAAAACTGTGCTGGCGACTAGAGTGCCAAAGAGATTTCAGTGAAGACAGTGAAATTAGTTCTGGGAAAAACTAAAGCATTTTTCAAGTGTGTCTATGTAGTTGTGAATGTAATAAAGTTCTAAGTGCAAAGACTGAGAACATAAAATTTTGTATTACGTAATGCAGAACCAAGTCTCCTGTTTGCAGACAGAGAGTTACATCTATGAGCTGTGATTTCCATTCGCTGCCAGTAATCTTCTAATTGTATAGGTAATTGTCAATAATGACAGCGGCCAGACACGAATTCTGTGCATCTGTTCCCATGTGGTGTTCTCAAAGGAAACCTTACCACTCTAAAATTCTCTCCCTACTCCTGCCTACCGCGTGACATATTTTCATCTGTTGCACATTGACATAGCCCTGTTAATATCAATTCACATACCTGATAATTAAATAAAAAAACAAATTACTTTCATCCTAAAATGGGAGTATATTGTTCTAGACCTCCAAATCTCCCAGGAGCTAAGACAGGCCACCATAAAAGCAAGGGTTACAAACCTGAATTTATTATAGACAAATAAGGCTTTGGCCTATGAATTCTCTTTGCCTATTAAGTTAATGAGCCTTGACAAAACAATCACCTGAGGATAGGCTGACAAATTATCTGGAGCAGCAATTTGAAAGGCATTGGCTGGCTTACAAGCATTTCAACTGGGAGAACATGGCATCATGTTCCACTTACTCTGGAAAAGTTACTTGTCAAACCAAATTTCTTGCAGTTCAGCAGCAGATTCTCAATATTGGAGCACTGAGGTAAAACAATGACCGCAGTTAACAAAACAAGGAAATAATCCGTGTCCTTTGCTCCCCAGAGCTGAGGCTGACAAATTCTGATGAAAAACTCTTTCTAGGAAGCCTGCAGGAGGACAGGGAGATATCTTTTTATATTTGACCGGAGACCATGGAAGTGTATAATGTGGAGGAATAGGGCTTTAAGGAATTCAAGTGAATAAAGGGAGACCTTTCAAAATACCTGGTGAATATTTGGAAGATTTTTTTGTAGTACAGCTCCCAATAAAGTTGGTGATATCACAGCTGCAGATTTCAAACAACATCCTTTTACGGATTAATTCTTCCAGGTATTCAACACAATACAGCCCTAAGACACATCGATTTTGTGAAATTTAGTGATCTGTACAATGAACAATCCTGCAAAGGCAGGCACTTGGATTAGGGTTAAAATGAAATTAATGTTTTTCTAAAATCTGTTCTCCAACTGTGAATACTGCATCCTTTTGGAAATTGGATCATGACATATGTTGTAAAGCTGTCACTTTCCTCACCAAAGGCATTTGGTGAAATATTATTTCAAACATCTTCCTCTATGGTCAACTGTTCAAAAAGTCCCGTGGAAAAGATGACAGCATTTGAGAACATTGAAAACTGTCATATTTTCTGGCTGAATGTTCTTTCACAGTGGGAAGGAAGTACAAATTATAGCAATCAGTTGCCTCTACCACAGCGTGTAGCAGAGCACGGTGCAGAGCATTTAACCACTAGTTGTGTCTGTTCTCAATTTTTATGTTCTTTTTTCATTTTTTCTGGACTGTTGAAATAAACAAATTGATTAAATATGCAGGGACTAGACCTTAATTTTACATCGAAGTAGAATGAAGAGAAATGAAACTTTGCTCTTAGGAGAATTAAGTGACATTCAGTAGAATAAAGCCCAGCTTTTTAAGTCCTGATATCAGGTCATTGAACACCCGATGACCAAGTATTCAGTCAATCACACAATAAAGCAAAAGGATGTAGAGAATTATATTTTCAGGTGACAAAATGACCTATTTCTGTGACCTCTCCAGGGCTCTACTGATTATCGGTGTCTGAGTATCTGGTCTGCAGGAAGCAGCCTTAACAGATTCGCCCTTTCCCTCCAACCTATCTCCATAGTCCTGACAGTCGTGTGTGTAGAGATCAACCCCTTAGCAATGAACCGCATCTCTCCATGGTTAGCACGCCACGATCTAATCCTCAGTGCTCCCAAAACACAACTCCATAGCCCCAAAATCCCCTACAACACACTTGTTTGACTTCCTACTTCAAGCTTGTCCCTTCCTTTCTAAAGCGACCATTTTAAAAGAAAGAATCTTTTTATAATGAACTCTTCTGTTGTCTGGCTATAAACATGCAGAAGCACTGTGATGCTTACAGATAAATTACTCATATGTACAGTGTACCTAAAGACCTGAAGTGATTTTACTACTTTTTGGCTAGTTATTTCCTTTCATATAATCTATGCAGAGAAATTAAAATATTGTGGATAGATCTGTTAGTGCCTGGCACCCTTTTGGAATTATTTGTACCTTTGTAGAACATTGCCCTTGTCAATGTTTTTCACTCAAACTTATATGGCCTGAATGGCTTGACTAATCACTTCATCCAGTAATTAAGCATCTTTTTACAAATTCTAGAAGCTACACAGTTTCCATGTTAATAAATAGACAATTTCTTCATGGTCTTACCACATCTTCACTAGCATTTGTCTTACTGCTTTTTTAGTTTAGCTTTCTATTTCATAGCACTGCAATGCCTTTCACAGCTGCTTTTCTAAGCCTGGGATTTCTTTCTTGTTATTGTATCTTACATTAATTTATCTTTTTACTTTCCACTTACACACTTCTGCTCTTCTCTTCCCACATTTCTTTGAAAAGTGTTTTCTGTGGAAAATGTCTATGATCAAAGCTCCAAATACAATTATTTAACTTCTCTAAAATATAAAAGATGATAGTTTTCCTCCTGGCAAAAGAAATACTCAACATTTTCTTGAAAACTTGTTCCTAACTTTTCCTCTATCTCACAAGTCTTGTCTGCAAATAGTTTACTGCTATCCTAGTAGACTACAGAAGCATAGCTGGGTTATAATAACACAGCTTTGGATAGTATGTTTTTCCTTATTAAATATTTCCCAGGAGGCAATCATGGGCAATATTTTATAGAAATTTCTTTCATTACTTCGTTATGGAAATTTTCACCATTTTAGGTTTTAGTAAACATCGTCTCAGAGCACAGCTAGCCTAGGGAATGCTAAATTTTAGATGTATTCTCAACCACGACATGGTGAGGGAGGTGATTATTTTTTGCTCAGTTTCTGCTGAATAGCTTAGACAGCCACCCTATAAACCCAAAGATGCTCAGTGAGCAAAGTATGCACAACATAGAAATAAAATGACTGAATCAAACCAGATTACTACAGCTTTCAGTGGAATCTTAATCACTTTCCGTATTCACAGAGAAACGAACACTGAATTCAGTTGTGAAATGTGATACATTTATGCAACCTATTTTAGAGCACCATTTCAATGGATCAAAACATTGCCTGTATTCATCACTGGATTTTGGATGACCAAAATTATATACCCAGGTAGCATATATCTTCCAGTGGTGCAGATATGAAAGCGTGGACAAAAACAAGCACAAGCTGTAGAAAAAGAAGATCTGTGGCGAAGATGCAAACTATGAGCTCAATCTAGTGACGTTCATGCACTCTAAGGAAGGAGGTGAGGAAGAAGCGCATGCAGTACCTGGTGATCTCAGAGTCAGGGAGCAGGCCTATGTGGTAGTGGGGATAGGGAGCTGTAAGAAGGAAGCTTTTGTCACACTCGACAGGGGAATAGTGCCTAGGAGAAGGTGGTTTATCACACAGTTTGTTCACAGTGCTGTAAACAGGTTCAGGAGGCCTGGTGATAGAGACAAAAGATCAGGTGTGTATTAGTGGCCGAGAATACAGAGAAAACACAGCAATCAGTTCAAAAGCATGCATAGCAAATCTGTCAGGACCTTCTCAGTAGGGCTGTTCTTACAAGTGAAGTGTACTGTTAAAGGAAACACCAGAATTTGGTAACACAGTATTATGGCATACAAGAAACTGCATATAAAGATATACACAATGTAAGTGGGCTGTAAAACTGGCTTATGGGAAGTGTGGCACCGAAAGGGAATATCTTACCACTGAAGTTCAGTGACGAGTTTTCCCACATACTCTGCTTGTTTTTTTATTTTAATCTAACAACACTACTTCTGAACAGCTTTCTGTGATCTCAATTGTGAGCATTGCATAGAAGAAAATGTGATGTTTATTACCTGAAAAGAGGTATTTTTTACCCATTAATTTAAGATACAGATGAAGTAAATACTACTTTTTAATGCAAGGTACTGCTGCCCTGATGAGCTGGGGCTTTGTGAGTAGACCCATGGTCCAAGTGAGCCATATCTGTAATAACACTGGTGGTGACAAATTGTGTAAACAATTCATCTCTTTGGCAGGCAATTAATTTCATTTCAAGAGTTCTTTGCTCTCTTTCCAGATGCAACCTTCAAAACCTGATTATGCAGACCACATCTCAAACAGTTAACCTCGTTGACAAGGCTATGGCAATCGCACTTGCACTGCTGCTCGAAATTACAGACAGCAGTCTGTGAAGCTAGATATGAAAAATAAATTTCTAAACCTGAGACCGACAGGTCAGCTAGAATTTCTCTGCTGCTGCCTAGAGGCCAACTGCTTGGGAGAGGCAATACTTACCACAAACCTCCCCGGGAGCCACTGGGGAGAGGGGAGGAAGGGATGCAGTCTTTAGTACCAACCAGCCAGGGATCCACAGGAGACAACCAGCAAACAGGTTTCAAAGAAATGCACCACATAGTATGCTTCCCGTCACGCAACTTCTCCAACAACTGCATTGGCCCGAGCAGATACCTCTGGGCCTACCGGCAGAGTGAAACTTGACTCATAATTTCCTGAAGTTTCTGTTTCAAAGACTGCCAAGACACAACTGCTGTCATATCATCACCTTTGCCAGAAGATCCAGGGTATGTCACTGTCTTTAATCACAGCAATACAGTATTAGCTAGATGAAAATCTTATTTCAGAAGCCTGGAAATATCAAGAGGCCAAGCAGTTAATGAAACTCTTTTTGTTCTTCTGGCTGCACTGTGCCTCAAATGGGTGTGGATTTGCTGTGACTTTCACAGGTATCAGAATTTATTAAGGTCTTGGATGTGCTGGCAGATAGAGAGAACATATTTTCGTTTGTTGTTAGCTTCTGGTTTTGTCCTTTGGGGGAAAAGGAGTAGTTGCTTTACTTAAACATTGGTCTCACCCAATGCTAATAACATTATTCATAGCAATCTGACACATGATTTGAGAACTCTCTGTGCCTGACTTTCACATGGAAAACTTTACTGTTAAAAAAATGGCAATTTAAGATTAGCAAATATCAAAACAGCATAGCTGTCACTCATTTGGTTGTAAAGCACGCTGTCAAGTGTTTAGTACAATCCTTTTAAAAATGTTTTTTTATTAGCATATTTCACACTTGATTCAGAGGGTTGGATTTAGTAATTTATTTACTGCATCAATTGTTTCTTTCAGTACAAAAAATCCAGCGAAAAAGCACTTCTATTATTTTATTTTAGACCAATACTGCCTTTTATTCTATCAGAAATCACTTTTGCGTTTAGGTAGTGTATCAAAGAACAGGTACAAATATAAATATTATTGATACCTACTATGAAAACCAAAGAAATATTGCCCCAGTGCAGGAAGATGAGTAAAAACTGTAGATTTCTTCATGGATTAAAACACTAACCAGTCCATAAACAACTTGCTAACTTCCTACAGTCAAGTTACCCGTCTTCTCTGAGTGGTAGATGACATGAGAGTGTTGCTACCCTTTGGATATGCTGTGAATGCTCAGAATGCTCTGAGTCATCAGCGAGCGACCATCCGACTTTATGCTGAGACACAAATGATGCCACAGAGATGGATAGATACAAAGGAATGCTACATTAATTGATAGTTACAAACTGCTTCCAAAAGCAAAACGAACGTAGACATTCAGTATCTCTAGATATTGAGACCAAATTAGTCCTTCAAATACAAATACAGAGCCCTAACATAATGGCTTGCAAAGCACAGCAAATTTTAAAAAATTTACTGTAATTTTTCACTTCTTTCGGTCTTACTGGATGGTGAGATAACAGAAAAATGGAACAAGTCACCACACTGATGTAAAAAGTCCTGTGCTTGTTGGTATTATAGAAATAATACTGTAAACTAGCTAACAATGTACCCTCTGTAACTGAGCCGAATAAAGAGGTCTTAAGGTTAAGAAAAGGAATTCAGACTTCTTATCCTTTTAATGCTTGTACTTTGCTCAGCATAGGATTCAGGGTACCAGCTAATTTCAGTAAAGATGAACTTCTTCTAAGGCCTATGATCCGGTGTGAGGTTATCGTAACCATTTACCACCAGACGCCATTCTTCGAGGTTATTAAGATCATGGAGTGAACTGGCTTTTTAGATACCTTCATTCTATTCAGATGCATATGCTAATACTGCCAATTGCATAGCTGGGCCCTGGCTGCACAGTTTATTGGCACAGAAAAGCAAGAACTTGAAAAATAAGCAGTACGTAACATCAAGGGTCCAGCTCAGCTCAGTATAAATTTATTTAATCTCTCAATTTGATTTAGTAAATAGAAATTAAATAGTGTAAAAATAATTTAAATTTGGGATGAAATATGGAAATGAAATAATTTAAATTTGGAATGAAAAATGGAAAATGATTAAAAGGTATTCGGCAGATGACTGTCCTGGTCATCCAAACTACGCTTCATGTAGGCCAGTAATCCTGAAAAGTAATACAAGATACCTGCTGCAACAGACTATCTTCATATATCCCCCTGACTCCTCACCTTCTCTATGGCAAGGTAGTACTTAGCTAAAATACCGCCTACCTCCTTTTGAAGACAACAATCCCAAACTGTATAAAAAAGGGAATTAGTAAGACCAAATAACTTTATTAAATGGTTCTTCAAATGTAGCATTTTTTCTTATCATTTACATTTCTCCTCACTGGAAGAAGAAGAAAGAACTTCTATCCAATGGGATCAGCCCACCTGGTAAATCCTGTCTCACAAATCTTCTCCAGTGCTGTGACAGACAGGTTGTCTTCTCTCAAAGTGGGATGATGAGAATGTAAAAGACCGCTATTTTGGAATTGTTTCTAATGTGCCATTCTGAAAAAATACAATCAAGGTCACCTCAGCTTCTCTTGCAAAATAATGAAGAGCCAGACTGAACATAACCATTTAGGCCTTATTTTATGATGCATTAATTTTTCAGATTAATTTAAAAACATGTAGCAGATCATTTAGCATGCGATAACAAAAGTGTAAAAGGTGAATATATATTATTTAGGGACTGATTCACTGTAGTTTATTTCCAATTGCATCACTTTCAGAGATAGATGATACAGCTGTCTTATTTGAAATAAACACTAAGCAATTTTTGTAACTTTTCAGATGAGAAAGAACAAAGAACTCTCTTAAGGATTTTATTTTGTCCGTTACCTTCATTTTTCATAGTACTTATGCAAAAAAATATCCCCTGAAAATGCCAAATACATGATTACTCTGTACTTCTTGGATAATTGTAATATCTACATTAATGAGTAATTATCAAATATGGGTCTACTCTGAAAAATAACTAACTGCTTCTGTAACATCTTATTTAACTGATCTGCTCCCTTTCTGTCTTTAAATTGTTTATTTAGTGACAAGCATATGTTAAAATATTCTGTCTTTATCAGCAAGCTAAAATCCAAGCCTCTGATCAATGAAAGCAGCAACTGCTAGGTGTAATTGGACAGCAATGATTAAGTTAACATAAGAATCAAGCATACAAAAGCCGAGGAAATGCAACAGAAAACCTATGTAGTAGCATAGCTTTGTCTGAGTGTGCCTCAGTAAATAATTCAATCACAGGAGAGAGAATCAAGTCACTCAGCACCACAAGGCAAGCTTTCAAATCATAGTATGAACTGCAAATAGTCGTAAACTACTTTTCTAGCAACAAAAAAAACCCCCCATAACTGGAATTTTTTATCAGTATAGACCTAAATGCAATGAGGCAGAATTTCGAGAGAAAGGTATAACTAATTTGTGGAAAAGCTAAGACTAACAGTGGGAGGTTGAAGATTCATCTGGCGCTGGGTTTATTTATTTATTTCATAGCAGATTGTGTAAAGAAAACAAATCTTCCTAATTGTTTGTAGTCCTTATTTTTCCTTGTTTGGATCATCACTGTGTTATTGTTTCAGCCTGGTTTTATTGCACGATAGAAGTTATAAGAAAATGACATTACTAAAACCGTTCTCTCCTCAGCATCCCGCAGGGTCCTCGTTTTAATTTTAACTTTTTTTTTAATTGCAGAATCCTATTTGGTAGGGTTCAGTTGTCAACAGCACATTAAATGTTAACAGTTTCTCTTTTTTTGGGGGGGATTTTAAAATCTTTTATGATATGGAAAGAAACCAGCTAAGCTTTCACAGCATATTGAGTATGCAGGGCTATAGTCAGGAAATGCTAAATTCAATCCAAGAGAAAATAGATCTCCCAATGCTACAAGTTTCCAACATGTTTTTTTCCTCAGTAGGAATTTTTAATTCAAGAAAGACAACTGACACATTTATATTGCTAACATAATGTTGCTGGGAAGTGTGAAAAGAATTGTCTTTAAAAGTACATCACCATTAAAACAAAATCAACGGCAATTTAACACAAACTAACTCTTCCAGTTCTTATAAGCAGTGATTTGTACACATGTGTCTTTTGACTTTCCATTTCTTCTTTATATAACCTTCTATAAGAGCCACATACCTTCTTGTTCAATAGG